CTTGAAACAAGCCTCTCAATCTTCTCTCTAGAGGAAACTATCTTTCCCATATGGTGTCCCAAATAGGGCATATATATCCATTCTTTTTTCATCCCATATATATATATATATATAAAAGGTTAATAGTACACACTAAATAGGCAACTTCTTATGTTACATATATCTAAAAAACAAAGAGACATATCCAAGAGTCCTAATCTTTTTAGATTTCTAATACCTTTAAAAACCTTATCAATATCAATCTCAATCCCACATAATATGGGATTCCTTAATGTGGTTGATTTTTTATATCAGTATATCCAACAATCTTCACTTTGATATGAAAATCAATTGCTCACCATGCCAACATTTATTGGAGAGCTTTATAAATTATTCATATTTTGCCAAATAAATTTCTTCACTATCATTGTTGGAAAAGTAGTGTTTGTCATCAAATTTCTCCACTTTGAAATTTATAATTGAAACCTTTACTGCCATACCGATACCCCAAACGAGGCTCTGATACCACTTTTGGAGGTCATTCTTTTATCTATTTAAGTTCTTTTTGTATGAGAAAGATTAAAAAAAAACAAAGGGAAAGTTTTGGGGGTTTTTGTATAGAGATAAAATTATAGAGAGAATAAAGCTTGGTGAGAAATTGAGCTTTGTCTCTGATTCTCTCAAGTAATTGCTTTATAATTTTCTTTATTTGATTTAGTGGAAAACATCAATGGTTTTCACCCATGAATATAGTTACATTTGTTACGAACCATGTAAATTCTAATATTTTTTTTTTCTATTATTTATTTATTGCTTTCTTTTTCTTGCTTGTTGCTTGTTTCATTTTTCTTGTATTTTATTTGCTAAAAATAAACTTACCATATTTAGAGCTTCTGTGTGCAACGTTTATTGCAGATTATATTGGATTATGAATTTTTCTTTTTTACTCCATAAATGGACGGTCAAACATACAAAAAAAACATACGTATTAAGCGAACACGTCTATAGTTTTAACCTTTAAAATTTTACCATACAAATACCTATCACTTAAAATCCCTCCTTCCTCCTTATATAAATGATGTCCCAATATTTCATGTATGAAAAACTAATTTTGGTATTCCTATCTATGTACAAAGCTTAAACACATATCCATCTCTTTGAAACACATCAGAATACACAAATTCGGATAACCTGTAATCCAGATGTATGGGGAGCCAGCAAAGCCTTTACAGGACTCTCAAAATCCTAAATAATCAAAATCCTATTTTATCAAACAAGCCCTTAAGAATCTAGACCACTTAGTTATTGTCTAATAAATGGGATCAGTCTGGTGCGTTAATAAAAATATAGAGAGATTTTTTTTTTCTTTAAGGGTCACTAGCAATTTCATTTGGCAGCATGACATCGACTAAATCACACACAGCACTTGGGAGAGCAAACAAGTTATTCTTCTTCATGCAAAGCGTATAAAAAAGAAGATTGAGGCACCTGCGGGTAGGTTTTTTTATAAATAAAAATCCATTTCGCAATGGTGCCCTAAAAAAAATCAAATCTTCAATTTTGAATCAATTTAATCCTTCACTCCTTTCTAAAAAATACGAAGAGGGAGATGGGACAAAGACATCAACTTCACAAGAGACGTGAATGAGAGAGAGAGAACATTTCAGAACCCGGCCGGGTTAAACCGGAACTGTAAGGGTTACTCAGAACCGGCGATTGGCCGTGGTTGGTTGGTTTTGGCCGGTCAGGATGGTCAATCAGCTTGACCATCCGGATTTTAAAAAATTAAAAAAAAAAATAAAAAATCCAAAAAAATAAGAACTTTGTTTGTAATATGCTTTTTAATGTTTTCTATTGCTTTGGAAATTATTTTGACTTTATTTTTATATTTTTATCTTTTAATTATTTTTAAAATACCCTCAAGAGCAAATTGATTTTTAAAAAATCTATTTTTTAACTACTTTTATCCTTATTTAGATGTATTTTGTATAGTTATATTTTAAATATGCGTTCGATTTTCAAAATTTTTTAACTCTTTTTAGCCCTGGTTTGCCGAATTCGGGGCAGTTACTCAAACCGGTTTTAGGTTGCTCGGATCCGAGCCCATGGCCGGGTTCCTTGTCTGGTTCGTGCAATCAAACAGTAGATGAAACAAACGTACTTCACACAAAGAAAGATTGATTGATTGGCATGAGTGAGATATGCACTTAAAACTTCGATGCGATTCGTGCTTTGTGCACCACACCACACCGCACCACACCACACCAGTAAATGGGAGAAGCATCACAACTCCTACTCATAAAGCAACCCACCTCAACCACTCGACGCCAAAACGCACAACAAATGGCACACAAAAAACCAAAACAAATAAATATAATAAACCAACCTTTTATACCCCTTCTACAATTTTTATATTCATTTACAGCATCTGGTGTACGGCATCTCTAACAATTACACATATGGCTGTATATAATTTAATAATAAAAGAGTGGATTGAAATGATCCTGATTCCACACGTGTCGCGTGCAAGAAACGCTGACGCTTTCATCAGCAAGGAATGCTTTAAAACCTTTTGGTGACCTCCTCTTTCTTTTTCACAATCACATATTAATTACTATTTGATTAGATGTTGGTGTGAATAAGACACGTAGCTAAACCTGGACCAAGAAGGTCAACACAAACCAGCATGGAGGTGCACCAATGGAGTTGAGTTAGAGGTGGGTTTGGAGACAAATACTGTTATTTTGTAATCTAAAAGGAAAACAAAGCCAATAACAACAACAAGCAATAATAAATCTTAGGTTAGTGTTAAGGAGCATATAATGACGTAACAAAAGGATATCCCATATGATCTCTAAGAGTTTTATTCTTTATTTTATTTCTAAATGATGTGGTTTGTATGTGGTCTCATCTCTAAAGCTCATCGAGACATATAATTTTGGTATCGAAAATTTTAATGCTGACCAGAAAATCTACTTCACCTCTAATTATTGATTTTAAAACTCAAAAAATAGTACCGATCAAGTAGATCTAGAAATAGATTAAAATCTCGAGAATGGACTGTCTATATAACATATTACAAGATTTACCGTCTTTTGGACATCAACCTTTTTTTTTTTTTTTTTTCTTTTTTTTTTTTAATTCCTTATAGCTCGAAATCGAGACAATCAATTAGAGGGTTTTCCAACATCGAGACCTTTATTTTTTTGATAGATTTTTTAGGTGCCTTTTTCTACAGTATAAGGTTGCAACCTTATGTAAGCATTTTTCTTTTATAAATAATATAACTCTAAGTTACCACAAATAAAAAGATCCCAAAGTGCCGTATCAAACTCCGAAATCAGTGATAAGCTAATTTATTTTTTATTTTTTGAATGGTACCTTGGTACCTTACAAAAATGAAACTCTAGAAATCATGTTGTTATCTAGAACCCGTTCTCGATCGTTTATCACATCTATCATTCATTTTGTATTCCATTAATCACATAGTAAAATAGGAATAATTTAAGGGCCATTTTTGAAGGGCAGAGGAAATGTTCATGATACCTCAATGTTCCCCATGTACATGTTTTTAAGTTCCATCATACTTAATTATTTCTTAGAAGGCAATGATAAATTATTACACAACTTATTGTCATTTGTACAATTCTTTTTAATTTTTAGTGGAATGAGGCCTGCCATACCTAACTTGCACTCTAAGTTTGGGTTGGAGTGGGGAGATAAGTGTGGGAATGGGGGTTCTGATATTATTTTTAAATCTGGTTGTTTATTGTCTTAGTGAGCATAATTCAAATCACCCTTCTATTTCCAAGAAATGTTGTGGAGTGTAAATTCTCAGTCATGTTAAACACCTAGAAACAGCTATTATCTGCCCCCTCTTTCGAATATACGAGCATATCTAGATTATAATATTTTATTTGATGCCCTTTTGACCTCCATAGTCCATACATAACTTTGTCCGTTTGACCGCTTTATGCAGGGTTGGCCCAGGCCTCACCCACGACTGGACCCTCAAAAAAAAAAGTGAGCCTAGGCTACAAACCACAAACTGTAGCCCAAGGGCCAGCGGCGGCCTAGTTCGGCCCGGTCCTCTGTTTTTTCTTATTTTTCTTTTATTGTTTTTTTAGCCCTGCTGGGCTCTAACAAAATCAGGGGCTAGGCGCTTAAGGACAATTGCCAGGCCAGGCCCAGCCCGGTCCATTGCCACCCTTAGCTGTTTGATCAAAATAACCGAAACTATTTTGCCACAGCTCAGGCAGCAAATGTGTCGCACCCATAGTAAGTCGCCAATTTAATGGCGACTTTTTCAAAAAATCAGGTTTTTTTGAAAAATAATTTAATTTGTGAATTTTTCAAGAAGTTTAAAACGTGATTTTTTAAAAATTTGAAAAAATCTTTTCAAAAAATAAATTCCATTATTATACTCTGATTTTTTTAAAAAAAATTCAATATCTTTTTCCCGTTTTACAAAATTTCTATTTCTATTTTTATTTCTATTCGACCATAATTAGTAAGTATGGGGTAGACTATTTCTTTCTAAAAAGATGAAAATTGAATTCCCCTACCCAATACTTGTCTTGACTAATAAAATAGATAATATATCACTAAATATTTGAAATATGATTGAAAGATATATCACATTGAATGTTTGAAATTTATATTTATAGGACTCCTCACAACTATTAATTTTTTCTATGCTCATATATATATATTCAAAATTTCTAATATTTTAAATATATCCATTTTTTTTACTCCAATTTGTTTAGCCTAATCAAATATATCTACGATCTCTTTACATGAAATAATTTTACCGATCCATATTTTTTACCCAATTTTTTTATCAGGCGATTAGTTTTGGATTTCATGGTGCGACGTGCACACCACCACCCCTTTGACTGGTGTTACGCAAGAACAGGTAAGAGTTGGGTAAGACACGCTTTTCTCATCAAATATGACTCCCCATCGCATCTAAACTTGCTAAATACAAAGACATTTCACTGTGTCCAGGAATATTGCCCACGTGCCGCAAATGAATTAAACATTTTTATATACACGTGAAACCAGAGTACAGCAAAACACCAAGCTTCCTAAAACGCCTCATCCCTCCCTAAATGAATTCACTAATAAATACAAAAGGGCATTGGTACTATCTATGTACATTCACACAACAAAAGCAAATAATAATAATAAAAATAAAAAGAAGTAATACAACTCAACACCCCTACAAAACTGCTGGCTGTTTTTTGAATGCCCCTGAAACAGCCACAAAACAGAGTTCCCCTCATTTAGAAAACCAACCCCCAGGTGATGCTCACCAACCAAGGGGCCTTTAGAGAGGCAGAGAAAGAGATGGACGGCCATTTCAAGATGAACCCATGTCAACAGCAGCTAGATTAGATACAGAAAGAGATGGCGCCGCGCCTGATAGCTGCCACCGAACTGCCGGTAAGAGAGAGACGGGGCATCACAAGGAAATTCATGCCGGGTATCGAAATTCACATACAAAACAACCTCAGCAGCAGCAAGCAGAGGAAGGGAGAGAGAGGGATGGGGGTGTGCTGCAGAGCAGCTTCATCACATCACTGATCACAAAGCAACGATCTAAGTTTCCTAAGAGCCTCAGGTGACAATGAGCAGAGCAACCTTGGCCTACTATGCTCACAAAAAGAGGATGCCCCTGGCCCTATCGAAGAAGGTGAAGAGAAGCAAACCACAATAACAGTGAGATTATCAAATGTATGCAATCTCAACGCCTCCATCACCAATTCCCTCGCGCACCTCTCGGGATCATTATGCCTCCTTAGCCCTCGCCGCACAATTCCAACTGCTTTCTCACTTGTCATCACATCCCATATTCCATCGCATCCCATTATCAAGAACTCATCATCCTCGCTGAGTAATGTGCGCCTAAACTCGGGCTCGGCGATGAGTGGCGAAGTGGAGGCTGCTGTTGGACTGCCCTTGATGTCCCAGTCACCGAGGGCCCGTGTCACGCCAAGGAGGCCATTCAGGTACCCACCGTCATCGACAGAGGCATTGCATGACTCCACACGCTGCCGCTCAGAAGGGGAGAGGGGCTTGTGGTCATGCGACATATCCACAGCCTCCCCTTTGCGACAGAGGACAGCCCGGCAGTCGCCTGCATTTGCAACCAGCAGGAGCCTGAAACAGAACACATCAATGCACAAAAACAGTGTTAACCCAGCTTTTCAATAGGGTAGTTAAGGACACCACAAGCCAAAAAGGAAAAAAGACAGTACAACAGAAGAATTGTTGCTTTGTATAGAGGACATTAAGGGAAACAAAATAATGGAGCCTTTCATTTCCGAATCCACAGCAGAATCAATTGCATTTTGGTTTTACTTATGCATCTATTGTGAAATTCATTCAAAATTCTAACCTTCCAAAAATGAGAGCAGTCAGGACAGTTGTCCCCGAAGAACTACTGATGCTACAGTCACTGCCCAAGGCAAGGTCTGCAGTAAGGAAGGCTTCCCGAACAGAATTCTCCATTCCCTCTATGAATGTGTCATCAGCCACAAGCGCCTGTGGAAAATCAGTGTCATGGAAGAAGAATCTCAGGGCATTCTTCCTCATAAAAGCAGAAGCATCAGGACCTCCATGCCCATCAAACACCTGGACCATATCAATTCATATTTTATTGAGCAATAGTACATTGGGAAAGCACCATTAGTGAAATGTTGATTTGAAAGGATGGTGTTGTTCTTGTTAAAATTGGGTAAAGACCACTATAATATTGTGTGATCGAGTAGAGGGGGATTTCTTTTATATATAACTTACCCCATAGAAGGCACTTGGCATGGGACACCTAAACATCGAACCCAAGTGCATAGCAAGATCATCGATCCTGATGTGTTCGTCTTCCATGCATCTTACTGGTCCGATGTCTGAAAAGCTACCAGATCGGATGGTTGGGATGAATTGCAGGACACCCATGTCAACAGAGGTATCTGAGATGGAGTTGCAATCTCTTAGATCCTGCATGAAAAACAAGCATCCCATATTAGGTGTCTTACTAGGCAAGAGTCATTCAACTTATAGACAGAAAATTTTGAGAAAGTCATAAAACTCTGAGACTGTAATTCAAAGAGAATATATCTGAACAATGAAAATCATAATAATGAAAACTGTAGCAAAACAATAAGCATGTGCTATTCAGAATGAATAAACGTTTTGGACTAGCTCCGACTTCAACAATTCAATAATGAATTTGGGGGATGATTAACTAGTAACTGCAAGTATTAAACAATGAAATGGCACTTCATATATACTAGATTGCATCCATTAGCTTCTGCACACATAAGAGATCATGCAACAAGCTACTGAAGCCACAATGAGACAAGATCACCTAATGCCACAGTTGTCCATGGCATAAGGAGTTCTTTATTAACTTATTTTACTTGATTTCATATCCTTAAACTGCGATACGACCGCTAAATACTTACGCATATGCCAGGGTTCCACCAACCAAAATTGGTTATATGTATATGCATACAAACTTCCAAGAATCAGGAGGATGACACACAAAATGGTGGGTACGGTCTATATATGCAAGCGTAACCAAGACCACCTACATCTATTACCTAGTCACGAAGGCAGTAAAGCACAAGAAAAATTCAAACACAAAATAAATTTCAAGTGTCCAGAAAATGCAGATTTCTAAGTAGTAATTGATTATTCATAATGTGGCATGTGGGACAAATCTTTGCTCAAAATATTAATTTTGGATGGTCTATTGTGAACACATTTTCAAAAAAGATTATTCTCGATAATCTGTTTCTTTTCCCAAAAGAAAAGAATTCTGGATAGTCTTCATACTTAGTAGCAATCCCATGAATAATTTGCTTGACAAAGCGAGAAAAAAATAAAGAAACGTTACCTGCAATTATTTATATAAAACAATTGGTATCTCTAAAAATTTCAGTAAGTGCAATTATTTTTTAGACGTAAAAGGGAACACAAAAAAATTCTTTAAAAGTAGCAAGGAGGACAATTTTTTTTGAAATTTAAAAGCACAATAACAAGGTGAACCTCATGAGATCAAAACATGTTTTCTCAATTAAAAAAATGAGACAAATTCTCCGAAATATGTAACCACTGCATAAGTCACCAGATCGATATCCCATATGTTTGAAAGATAGAGCATGAACCAAGTAATACAAAAACCTATGAGGTTACATCAGCTGCAAACATGCAAAGAGCATTCATAAGGATTCAAAACATGCACAAAAACAGCGAAACAGCAATCAGGCTATTAAGACTTCAGGGAAGTGAGAAAGGAGATATTACAGGGGCTTCCCTCATATCCTAATAAGAACCCCAACTGATATCCATCAGAAACCAGGGGATCTCTAACGTGACACAGATACCAAAAACTATGACACCTGTAACCTTAACAACAACCTCACAAAAACACAATTAAGCAGAAATCGCAGCTCATAATTCTGTTCACATATAATACTTTCTACCTCTTCAAACCAAAAACTTGACATTTCAAATAATTGAGCAAAACATAAGGTGCTCCATTAACACCTAGATTTATCAGTGAATCAACACTCAAGTCTCCTGCAGGCAACACAAAGGAACGGACTACAACAGGACACAACAATTCTCAACTATAAATAGATGTACCAATATTATCTATGCATTCAATGAACAATCCCAGTTTGGGATACATAATTTAATTCCGACAAAAAAAATTGGCAACATAATGTGAATTCCCACCATGCCGACAAAGTTACCAAGGATTTTCTGACTCAAAACCCAAAATTCAATAAAAAAAATCAGAATTGAAATCTCAAAAAGAAGATCAAGATCTTACCAGTTCGGCAAGGGAAGCCTCAACAGAGACAGTAGCAGATGTGTGAATCCCTCGAAGAACAGGTTTAGGAGAAGATATTTCAACCATCTCTTCTATCTTTTGAATATTGTTTCCCTTAGTGATGCATCTATTGAACTGAACATCCAACACCGGAATGTTCCGGTGGCATACCTCTGCTCCCACTACCATGATTCAGTAACACCTCAAAAGAAAACGCCTTCTCACCAAAATTCAGTCCTTTTCGAGTGATGATAGCAGGGAAAGAAATTCAGATCCTCTGTTTTTTAAGTTTTCCTGCAAAATACAAGAGAAAACTCTTAAATATGGAAGGAAAAATCTAAATCAAAGTGTAGAAAACCTTATGCCAATGATAACATCTAAAAGTTGAATTTTTCCTTTTGTAGTGGACACATAAGGAAGGAAAAATAAGATAATTCTGTTCAGGAGCTCGGCAAACAAACCTTGATTTTCTTTTCAGAAGAGAGAGTTTCTTCAAGCAATAGAAGCCTTCAGATCTTGGACTATTTAGAGAGCTTTCTTGAGCTTTTAGTCAACAACAATGGCACGAAAACGCTAGAATCTATACTTCTCCAATAGAATTAAGAAGAATCGCCCCGTGTTTCGGCCAAGTAAAGGCTCGAAACCCTAGAAACCTCAGATGCAGATAACCGAGGACAGAGAATAATCACCCCTACTTCGCAAAAGAATCGTGCAAAAAAAAACCCGAAAAATCCCCAAAAAAAAAAACTTCAATGGCAGATAAACAATGCTCCAAAACCTCTCTTCGTCAAAAATGGCAGGCAATAAATACAGAGAAAGAAACCCTAAACAATCGTTAAGGAGAACAAGAAAAAATAAGTTGTTTTCCTTCCAAGACTCAAAGTGTGAACTCTAGAAGCCGAAACATGGGGGCAACCGCTATTTATAGCAGCGACCATCCTTCTTACCTTTCGCGTCCACGGTTAACCGCCGGGACTCGGCACCGCTTCCGGTTGGTTTCAACGTAGAAAACCGGGACTCTGTTACTCGTGACGGCACGTGTTGGTCACCCTAAGCCAGGCAAGCAACGAGTGTGACGTCATATTATGGGGACACGTGGACGCTTCCGCGTCAACACGTTTGCCGCCTCGGTTTAGCCACGAGCATGGTATGGCCACCCGATTGTTTTAGTACTTACACCAGTTCGTTATGATTCACCACCCGTTATGTGGGTGGATTTACTAAACATATGGGTCGCGTGGCCGCCATTTGCTTGTTTTTTCGTTGACGCAATGGCTTTTGGTGACGTCAACCAACCTCCTTTATGGTGGGAAAGTACCCGGACCTGCATATTTTTCCAAACGGTCCCTGCTCCTGCGGCCGCGGATTTGGGGTTTGGTGTATTTCGCGTAAACGTTTGCGGGTTGCGAGGGTTTTTTTCGATGAGCCTCATAATATTCTGGAATATTTCCTTATTAGTCCCTAACTTTGCAGAGGGATATTTTCGTAATTTTGTCCACATCAAGATAAAATATTCGAAATTGGTGTTAAGATTTATTGTGCCGTCTTTAAATTTACCGACATGAAAGGGATTGAGATTTGAGATAAAAGCTGAAATTGATTAATAAAAACTTGAATTAGAGATTAATAATTATAGTGGGGACGAGATTTTAGTTCTAAAATTCAAGATAATAAAAATTAGGGGAAATTGTGTAAATATCTTTTATATTTTGTAGAACTTAAACATGTCGCTAGTATATATATATATATATATATATATATATACGCTTTTATCTTATTTTTTAGAATTCATTTTTATTTCCTTTATAGCTCATGGTGAATTCAATCCATACTTCTAGGCATCACCCATTTTATATTTCATAAAAATATTTCACAAAACAATTATATAAAAGAACTTGATCATACAAAAGTTTGCTATTTGGTAGGTTTATTTATTTAAATTATTATTTCTATTTTCATAGGTGGTGAGGAATATAAATAAATAGCTTAAAATTTGAGTTGATCTAATGTATAGATAAAACAAATAAAATTAAAATGCATTACATGCTCTCAAAAAGTAAGAGACGAATTGCAGAGCACAAAAGATATCTACGTAGATCTCTCGAAAGAAACTAATAAAAGGCAAAGATAATTAATGTTGGAAACCCCTTGCCAATAAAAATTTACGGTGATCGATTCAGTCAAGGATGGGGTTTTTATGAGTCAGCCGACTCATACTGTATACATGCGGGGCCCATTAAACCATCTAAAAAATGGATTTTTAATCTAACATTTTACAGATTCATGATTCAGGTTAAGATGATCATGAAAATGAAAAAATTAAAACCATTTTTAATCTTAAAAATGGATTTTTAATCTAAAATTTCCAAGATTCATGAAAAAGCTTGATATTTAAGAAGTGCTTTTTAAAAAAAAGATTTGTACACGTATAAACTCATGAACGAGTTTTCCTTTAGGTTCATTAAATGTCATCAGTTTATTTAAAGAGGAGGGAGTTTAAAAGAAAGATGAGGGGTTCAAATTCAATTATTTGTGGTCGATGTGGGCCCATTGCAAGAAGGGCTTTATTTATTGGAGATATATATTCGATTATATCCACTCCCAATTTTAAGGTCCGTATAACACGGTTATATCTAAGGATCAGGTTTTGTTTTTTATTTTTTTTCTAAATATAAATGGATAGGATAAAAAATGCACGTGAGTTTGCTCAACGAACCAACGATTTATATGTGGTTTCCCTTATTGAAGCGTCAGGCCTAAATTTCAGATATCTAACAAGAATATGTCAAAAGATTTCCTACTCCGGCACGCACGACTATATTATCCATTTACCTCTCATATTTTGGGATGTAATCTCTATACCCTATAGACAACGTAATCTCTATATACCATAGAGTAATCTCAGTTAAAAAAAACTCGAAATAAAATCTACTAGAAAAAAATTAAAGCCTCAATATTATAAAATCTACTAGAAAAAAACTAAAGCCTCAATATTATAAAAATCAATTAGAAAAAAAACTAAAGCCTCGATATTGAATAGAGACCGTCCAACTTTTAAAAGGAATAAAGTGTCACAAAACTCAAAGTGTAATTTATTTTTTAAAAAAATAATTATCTAGTAATTTTTATATGGTTTCTAAAGTTTCAGACTAAAAAAAGATTTTTGAAAAGAGAGAAAGAGATGATTGCTAGATGAGTTATCAATGTTGTATGATTACTTGAGGGAGATGATTATAGGGAGTAGATCCACAGTATGCTCCTGTGGGACAGTGATACAGTGAACTATCATATATCTAAGAGAGAGAGTAAATTCTAGACTTTAAGAGAGAGAAGAGTAAATTCTAGATCATTAATGGAGTTTAATAATTGAAACAAGCTGTTAATTCTTGCACCAATGATATAAAAAAAAACCAGCACCATTGCCAAATACATCAACCACTGCTACAATAAAATAAACTTAAATAGGATGAAACAGAGTACCACAGTGGAATGCATGTCACAATTATTTATTCCACCAATGGAATAAATATGGGACATAATTGGAGGAACTTTACCAATGTATAACCACATACCAAATATAAAGAAGGCCCTTACTTGGGGTACTCAACCAACAACAATTAAAGATTAATAATGAATAATTACTTTGGTCACTCAACCACCACAATTAAAGATTAGTAATGTGTTGGGCACAAACACCCACAAAACCATCTGCAAGTGTTCAACTATAGACTTCAAACTTATCCCATCCACTTGTTGCTCTCACTCCCTAAATAAATTTCCCTATATGACCTAACCCTAGATTTGTTTAATTTCCCAAAAGAACCTAGACAATAATGTTTACTGCTACTCTAAAGGAAAGGGGGCTGTTCATCTCATGTGTAAATGCTATTGAGAAAGTGAAATTATTCTCGTGCCTGTTTGGATGACAATTAACATTATCAATAGAATATTATTTTATCATTTTGACTACAAGCATGTGATTTTCAACAAATTGCTTTGAATAAAGTAAAAAACAGCTCTTTAAAATGATAAATTTACGTTACAGTCAAATAAGATAAACTCATATACAAAACTAACAATAAGTTTATCTCAAGTAATTTTATAAGGGATACTACCAAACCATAGATAATGGTTGAGGTTTTATAAGGCACTATCCTTATCTTGTAGAAGTATGGCGCACCTCTAAAATTTGTTTGGCGGCATAGTTGGAGTGTCAGAAATCTTATGAGCACTTGAAAATCTATTTTTTTCATCCATAGTTATAGAATTTTAAATTTCAAAACTAGTACAGATCTATAAACACTTAGAAAATAGACAGTCCAAAAAACATCTTAAAATATGCACTATTTTTAAGACTTGATTTTTTTTGTTTTTATATCAAGGTCGAGATAGTCATTTGGAGAGGTCTCTAATGTCAAAACACTCTCTTCTCGAGGATTTTGAAGGCCACCTTATTTCAACAGCCTTATATAAACTTTTTTCAAAGATAATTAACTTTATTGATACAGTGAATTATCAGTGATAAAAACAGCACCTAAACTACCCTGTGTCGCTTGTCGAAACTCCAAAGCTTATTGATCAATAAATTAACAAATTTTTCAGACAGTTTGACATTGTTTCAAGTTTTTCTTGTGCTTGAATCCATATCCAAAAATTCTTTTTCCGTTAAAGGGGCACTCAAATTTCATTTTCTTGAAAAAGAGAGAAACCACATGTCCATAAGGCGGTATATACTTATTGGGAAGCATAAATATCATTAACAACTATATTATCCTCCGATGAAAAAGAAAACTAAGGGTTAAATGGTGGGGCTAATTTTGATCATAAACCCAAGCCAACTGGGTTTGCACTTTGTGTTTTGGACGCTCCAAAGGTTCGACAGCAATCAGTAATATGTTGACACTTGACACTGCCAAAGCCAATTTGAAAACATCATCATCGTCATACCTTTCCAATCCATTTCATCTTTTCCCCAAGTTGATTACTGGACCCTTATTTACATGGTCATCACTGTAGGAAAAATCGGCGGTTAAATTCTAAACATCCGGTTTGATCGGAACCGGTTTCGGCTAGTTTTGGTAAACCGGTTCTGTATTTAAAAAAAAAATTCAAAAATATATAAAATCTTAAAAAATAAGGAATTTTTTTTGTAATGCATTTTGTAATGTTATTAATCATTTTGGTAAAGATTGGAAATTATTTGCGCCGTTAGTACTTATTTTTACATTTTTGAAAATTTTCAACTTCATTTGGATGTGCTTTGTTTAATCATGCTTTAAATAGTATTGGGATTCACTATTTGGACTTGGAGCCGACATGTCGGGTCCAACTTTTGGAACCATGCCCGGAGCCGTGTCAGATCCGGATGTCGGGTCCCGGTCCATTACCACCCCTCTCCGGAGTAGCATTTTGGCGATCTGAAACAGGTGTGGAGTACACGGTCCATCCTAGTGATCCAGGTTTTAACACTAGGGCCAACTAAGAAATTTGGGCCGACCAATGGATGAAAAACAATTTAGGAGCAAGAAATTTTTTGGCAAATTAAGATTGCTTCTATCGAAATTGTATGAGGTTCTACGAGGCTCTTGCTGAGAAAGCAACAACAATCAGTGCAGATAAAATCGAAATGGAACGGTTAACTGGACATGGGGCCGAAAGCTGTTCAACATGCTTGATCAGGGAAGTCTCAGGCGAAAAAAAAGAGAGTTAAAAATAAAAAAATATAAAAAATCTAATAAAATATAGAAATATATTTAAATCATAATTAAACAATACATATCCAAATGAAGTTGAAAATTAATGAAAAAAATGGGTTTTCAAGATCGATTTGTGCCTAGAGGTATTTTTGAAATTTTTTAAAAAGATAGGAAAATGTAAAATAAATATTAATGACCAAAATAATTTCCAATCTTTACCAAAATGATGAAAAACATTAAAAAAAAATGCATCACAAATAAAATCCCTTATTTTTTGGGAT